ATATATATATATATATATATTGAAAGAGAGCCTCTGGGATTCCTGTTATTTGAAGGCTCTGTAGGGCCCTCGTAGGATTCTCGATGGGGTTTGGGGGTTCAGGGCTCCAGGGTTTCGGGTTTAGGAGCTTGGGGGGTTTACTTTGAGGGCTCCTTTCTTCTAGGGACCTAGCAGGGTTCTCTATAGGGTTCAGGGCTCATGCATTCAGGGTTACTTTAAGGGTGGATACTCTTTGGGAGGTTTCTGGGGTTTAGGGACTGGGCCGATACACCAGTGGCCTAAACAGTCTCGAAAGGTCGGACAAAGAGCCTAGGCTTGCTAGCCTCGCAGCTATGGTTTGGATTTAGGGGCGGAGCTTACGGCATTCGAAGCTGCCGATTTTGTTCGTGACTTCTCAATGCGATCTGCGAATGTGAGACACAGCTTCCTTTGTGCTCACCATGCGCGATGAGACTTAATCTAACTGTATCCCAAAAAGCCTACATAGAACCGGAAATAACCAAGGCAACGTACAACAGTGTAAGGTGTACAAAGACCGTCCGATCAGTACACAAGTATCCCTTCTGCTTACATCCAATGTTGCTGGACTGCGCTCGTCACTGCTCAGGAAAATCACTTGACTCGCGAGCTTGGTACGGTACCAGCTCGTGCGCAGCTCTTGATGACCTCGGCTCTGGAATCAAAAGACACGGAAAGCTGAGTGTGAGCATGAAGAGAAAAAACGGCCTGACCAAAGCTACACTGGCTCAGGGTTGTGTCGAGACTGCGCTTCATGTTGTGGCTTCGGGGGGTCAAGGCTTACAGCTTAGGCTTCAAAGCAATGGCAGCATTGAGATCACGACGCAGTTGAACGTCAAGGTGTCCGGCGTGATCCTCGAATCAACGAATGCCAACACTGTACTTGTACATATATTATACTATGTACATAGACAACTATATGCAAAGATATATATATATACATATGCATAACACTGTGTGATATAGAGAATAGAGGGAGAAAGCGAGAGGGTCCAGCGTAGGTGATGGGCCCCAGACTTTTCCAACCTTCGTCCTCCTCTCCCGAAGCCCTGAGCTTACACCCTCAAGCATGCCCTAACAACATGAATCTCCCGACCCTGAACCCTCGAAGTCCTAAACCCTTACCCTAAACCCTCGAAGCCCCACATCCTCAAGGCCCTCATCCATCCTAAAGGCCCCCACCCCTGAACTTGTACGGAGACACGGAAACCACCCCACAATGGAGAAAACGGAGACATGATTCTCTGAGTGCTACTACACAGCAGCGTTGTTGTAATCGCCATGATTCTTCATAATCTCTGTGGATGCCGATGTCGTTTCTACACCTGCAAATCTCATGACTCCTAGGGCTATTTCTCTGCCTGCTCCTTTCATGAACCCCAAACCCTAAACCCGACACCCTAGCTTTCGGCCCTTTCCAAGCTTGGAAGCTGATGGCTTCAACTCCCTCAGATGCAAGATATTACAAAACACAGAAGCCTCAGGTTCGGCCGTGCATGCGTGTGTGTGTGTGTGTGTGGGTGGGTGGGTGGGGGTGTGAAACGGTGTATGTATGTGCGTACATGTAACATCTATTTATCTATCCATCTATCAATCAATTTATCTATCTATCCGTCTAACTATCTCCGTATCTATCTGTCTGCGTGCGTGTGCGTGTGTGCGCGTCTGTGTTCGTGTCTCGCTCTCCTTCTTTCGAAAACCATCATCCGACATATTTCTTGCCCAGGTGTGACAGTGCCCAGTTTCGCGCCTGAGGCTTACGCATCTCCCTTCCATTGGCCATTCCATCATAGCCCTACATCCTAAGCTCTAAGAATATAGAACAGACTATGATTGCACATGCATTATAGATGAACTTTACTATATACAATATCAATGACACCTTGTAGGAGCCTTTACGTAACACCCTTAAGGCCTTCAAAGGCACCCTTAAAGGGAACCTTTGTAGGAGCTCTTAAGCTGAGCTGCTTCTCCCGCAACATTTTCTGAAGCCAATGGACCTCGGCTGCATGAGGCTAGTTTTTTAATACCCCAAACCCTAAACCCCTAAACCCTAAACCCCCTACACCCCGAGCCCCAAAACCCCAAAGACCCTGAACCCTAATCTAAATTGGGATCCCTTTCTAGGTCCCGAGAAAAAAGTTACGGCAGCCTGGAGCCCCAAAGGGACCCGAGTTTGGAGAACTACCCATCAACTCCCGAGCTTCCGGGGCTTCCCAGCTCCTGGGTAGGGTTTGGGGTTTAGGGTTTAGGGTTTGGGGTTTAGGGTTCGGGGTTTAGGGTTTAGGGTTTGAGGCTTACGGGGTTAGGGTTTAGGGTTTCGGGGTCTAAGAACTCCCAGGTCTTAGACCTTAGGGCCAGGGCTTAGGCTTTGGTTATCAGTTCGCAAGACTGATGAGAATGGTGATAATGACTTCTATTGTTACTGTTATGGTTCACTTATAATTATTGTTGTTTGATTGTATGCGTACAGTGCGGAATGTGATCTGCGAGCCTATGCACCAGTGACCGTTACTCATGGCTAGCCGTAAGACTGTTGCGCCTACTGCCAGCACACTCAGTACCATTATGATCTCCATCAAAACGTCCAAACCCTACACTCCAAACCTTAGTCCCCTTCCCGAAACCTTGAATCCTAAACCTCAAACCCCTCAGCCCCGGACCCTGACAGGAACCCCTTAAGGAAGGCGCTACGCTGATCTCCCTTGTAAGAAAGCTCTGTCGAAGAATGGGGCCAGAGCTGACTGGTCAACATCCCCGGAGCTCGCGCAGCCTCGCACAGAAGGGAGGGGGGAGCGGGGGCGTGAGAATGGAGGCATGAATGCACACTAACATGCGTGAATATATATATATACACATATATATATATAGATATATATATATATATATACATATGTATGTATGTATCTATTTATACACATGCACAAATATATACCTTTAACAACATTTTGTTAAGTATGTGTGTAAACATATATATATATATATGAACACACACACACTCTCTCGCGTGCACATGGTATTTCGTTTACTTATTTGTGTGTGTGTGCGTGCATGTGCGTCAGAGACATGTAATGTTCGTACATACTGAGTATGTCCGTGCATAAATAAATAAATATATATATATATGTAACACTTTGTATGTTTATGTGCATGCTAAAGTAGCGGCCAGAAGGTGGAAACATGGAATGTATAGAGTACGTGTGCATGTATCGGGCACTCTCTATATACCTGCGCATATATATATATATATATGTATGTATGTGTGTGTGTGTGTCTGTAACGCTCTCTCTCTCTCTCTGTATGTATATATATATATATTTATTTGTTTATTTATTTATCTGACGATATTAGCGATTAATACTGGCTTTATTATTATTATTACAGTTATCGCTGGAGGGTTGCATGGAGTCGTGCTGGTTGGGCATCACAATATGGCAACTCGAACCCTTGTACAAGTGTACAAATCTTGAGCATCTCCTGAAAACGTCCGACGCAAACAGCTCCTAGCATCGTCAGTTTATGAGTAAAGTATTCGGCTGACGGGGACTATAGTTCCCCTAAGCCCTGAACCCTAAACCGCCGATCTTGGTCTCATGAAGCTTCATGCTGTCTTCTCCACCGTGCATGCTTATGCAACGAAAGTCTTCGCCACAGCATCCCGATCGCCGGGGGCCCCACAGTCAATGATGGCCGTGTAACTTTCCACAGTTGGACAAAGCTGTTCTGCCTCGCAAGCAATCGCTGTTGCAATGCTACCGTTAGCATGTAAGCGTATGAACCTTCAAAGCCAACCACATGCGACGAAACAAGATGCAACGATGTGGAATACATCCTTGCAGTAGCTCGGGCCGAATTCCTAAGCCCTACATAGGAAAAACCTCAACAGAGATTGTGTCCGGCGAAAAGTTGCATTCGGATGTATCTTAACACAGAACACAATCATGATCATCATCCTGCTACTCGTCATCACTAAAACCTGTCGTAATCATCACCACAGGCAGCAACAACACGATGGCCATCATCATGATCATTGTGATGGCCGGGTAAAAGCTGCCGCAGCAGCAGCGACAGCACGGCATGATTATGCCTTCCTGCTCCGCATCATCATTAAAAAACAGCAGCACCACCGCGATCACAATCACCATGATGCGCTTGAAATACTGCTGCCAACAATGCTTCACGCCAGTAGCAGCGACTGCACTTACTATGTCTTCTGTGATGATAACGTTGAACATCACATGACACTTATACGAACATAATTCTACCGACACTAAATGAAAACCAAGATTGCGTTGTCAATCTGGCCTAGAGAAACGACGATTCAACAGCAATAGCTTTGTTGGTGAGTCATTGTAGCAGTGCTGTGATGCTGGTGCTGGTGCTGGTGGCGGCGGTGGTGGTAGTGGTGGTAGCATGTTGTGGGCTATGCAGCGATTGAGGCAAATGTGCTTGTTCTTCATATACCCACCTGCTCTTCACACTACAATCTTCACTGAGATGAAAGGTACCCTCACAGGCTATCATGATGATAACGAAACTGAAGCTACTAATAAATATAAAATGACCATCAGGATGGAATGAACATACATGACAGACAAACAAAACTGCGATAATGTTCGCCCTGCATGTGAAAGTGACTACCCATCTCGTGCATCAATCCTGTCTAATCCTACGTCCGAAAATTCAAGATCATTACAGAGTTCTTGGGTGTCCTCCCAAACCGTGCTGCTGAGAAGTCCAGAACAGCTTTACAAGTGAACAGAAACAAGTTTTCTGCTGTCAACTTCTCGTCAGGTCCAGGCTACTGCTACAGCTCGGCGTGAAGATTCTAGCTGCAAAAATCGGCAACGGCTAAACCCAATGCCCTAGCAACCTATGAACGCAGAAACCCTCAGGCCCAACCGCCGTAAGCTCTCCTTTTCAAGTGGGATCTTCAGAAATCATAGTGAAATGATTGTTGGGGCTTGGAAGTGTGGCCCTGTTGTACGACTCGTTGGTTTAACCAACCGTCAGTGTTTCATATTGAAAGCAGGCTTGGGAAAGCCCTGAGGACCCAGCGAGCATGGACTCAAGCAGCTGACCGGCCTGTTTCGACACGTATGCACACAAGAGGTATTAACATAAGTGGCAATCATCCGGTTGTCAATCGCCTTATCAATACGAGCCCTCTCTGCATGAAAGGGAACCTTTGCACAAGCTTGCTATGAATGTGGCGGTATGGGGACCTAGAAGAGGTTCCGAGCCGTGCTTGGAACTTTTGAAGATTATTGCCATTTTCATTAGTAGCATTCTTGCCTTTAGGAGGTTGATAGATTTCGGGAAAATCCTCGTAGGTGGCGTCCTGCAGCGACTGCAACACTAACCATTGAATGTGAGATTTTATATCATTCAGAATCATTCCGCTTCCCCTGCCCATGTAAGAAGGAATGTGTTTCTTGAGCTTGATGTGGATCTAGGGCCGGCAGGCCATCGATTCGGCACATTATGTAAATTGCAAGGCATCAGAAGCCCGGCAACCTCTCGAGGTTTAGGAGTTTCGGGTTTAGGTGCCCGCCTCAATGATTACCCTAAACCCTAAACCTTCCTAAACATGCACCCCGGGCCTTGGCAGCCGAGCCGCGCTTTGCATAGGCGGAAATCAGCGATGTGAACGTGACCTGTCTCGGTGACAACGGTGGTAGCTCCCTCGACTTTGAGTCAGGGTCTACGGTTTAACCCACCGACATAGTCAGCAGTGGATTTTGATTTTGGGCACAATTGTATTATAATAAGGTCTCTAACAGCACCACGGGAGAGCATCTACTTCGGGGCTAAACTGGGTAAACGACATGCTTCAGCACGAGATGTTGGGCATGTCTGCTATGTTTCTGTCTGGATATTCAAGCTCCGATGGAGGATTCCTCAGATTTTTGCATATATGTTTGCTTGGAGGGGCTGCTTGCTTATGACGCAGTTAAAAAAGAGGTGAATGTAGCCAACGTATCCTTCATCAGGAGGCGTATAGTTCGACCGAGATTAGTGTAGGAAATTCCGACGGCTAGTGCCTACACATCGAGGATACTCAACCTCCCAATTCGGAATCCTACACAGGGCGATGTAGGAAATTCCAACGTAGGAAATTCCAACGGCTAGTATCTACACATCGAGGATACTCAACCTCCCAATTTCGGAATCCTACACCGGGCGAAAGCGACACTTGGCGAGTCAATAAATCCAAGCCGCGGGAGTAGCAGAACCGAACACGAAAGCATCCCCTAACCTTGAAAACATCGAACGTTGACGGTGTGGAACCCTTTACACTGTAATGACATGTCAGGTTTAAGACTCTACTGGGGCCGAAACAAACACAACACCGACTTGTGTAGGGGGTCCCACATCCCGCCTCGTTCGGCTGCAACATGTGTTCCCGCAGCCTGGTCCATTGACCCAGACCAACCCAAATTAGTGCTTTTGCACATCATGAACGGCGAGCTCTTACGCATTCCCTGTAACATCCTGCGTCAATGATGCGGCGAAACGAGTAGCAAGGGCAATGACCCGTGAACTCGTAGAACTTTGCAAGAACCTGCCGCCAACACGAGCCTTTGCAGCCACTTCTGGGTTTCGTCAACGTCTCCGGTCCTGCTGCGCTGGATCTTTGAATATGCCGCACTGCGAGATTCGGTGAAAGGATTCGGTGAAAGGCTATCGGCTAAGGTGCAATGCCGGATGATATAATTTCAGCCTATGGCTAATTAATTAATTGTTTTGCGAGTGCGAACTGCTTATCTATTCGGTATAAGCGTCACTGTAGAACCGATGCTGCTGTGACAAACACGTGCAACTTGACGTGACGTCCCTCTGCTGCCAGGAACGTCTGGGGTCCTGGCAAATCCGCCCAACACCGCGTTGAAGCAGACCTGCACTGGCACTGCGGGCATTAAAAGCAAACATGCCGCTCGTCAACAACACAAACGAAACACGACACTTGCCGTAATTGCCCAACTGTAAAAAGGTGCCCGCTGCGTGCGCGCTTTCTCGTGGGCTTGACTTGAGGCTACGGCCAGATCTGGCGGGTGGTTCGCTGCAAGCATCTCCTTCCTGAGCGACATAGTGAACGCTGATCATGTAGCTTGAAAACAGCTGAATACCGTCGACGAAATCCTTGATGCCACTTGGCTTGTTTCTTTCTCTTTGGTGGATGGTCAAAAGATTGCCAGCAGCAACCAACCGTATGCATGAAAACACAGGCAAGTTGCGCGAGTGCTTGTGACAAAATGGCATTGACCCTGACTCTACACAACCCCTCTTCGTGAAAAGCACAAGTCGCCACGACAGACGAGGTGCAATATTTACACAGTGCACATCGTATTTAACACGGGCACACCTGTACTTGTTTGTTTTGACGAACAAAAAAGGGGGTAAAGGTCGCCTGATGCTGAAATAACAGTTGATCTTCAATGGCATGAAAGCACCCGAAGCTTCCAAGCTGAGCTGAAAACAAATGCGCAACCGCAGTCCCAGTGCTGCCTCGGGCTGGTGCTAGAAAAAACACCAGGATTGACTACAGGTTTGATACTGCCAGTGATGAAGATGATGCGGATTTGCAGAATGTCACGAAACAGATATGAATTGGCAATGCCATGGGGCACTAGACAAAGCGCGTGTTAAGGTCAGTCTGTTATTCCTAAGGTTGATGGTAGGGGTAGGGTTCAAGCCGGGTCATATTGGGGTTGCAATTGCGAATCATGTTTCAGTTTCAGTTAGGTATGATGGCGTCGGCGGCAGGATTATGTTAAGTCCTAATATTAATATTGCAGGATTCGGAATCGTATTCAGGGTAACGTCAAAAGCTATCAGGTTTTGCAAACTATGAGGGGTATCAGCGAAATTTCAATGTCGTTCAGCATGAAATTGCTTGGGTTGACATGGTCTCTGCTAAGATGCTGTATTATGCTGTTACTTTCGCAGCTAGCATGCAAGCTAAGATGAAATATGCAATCAAAACCGTCGGTCGGTTGTATCGGACAGTGTTACTACCAGGCATCATATTTGGGCTACTTACTAGTGTCGTGCCTCTAAAAAGGTACATGCTAGCATTGTTCACCTTGGGTGTGTCATCACTGTGTTCCAGCCGCACCATGTTCTATACTCGTCTGCACACAAGTCGCCGTCATGTCATTATGACAGGCGTGGTACTTGGCACTATTACGGTGCCTTGATGCGTTTAAGTATGCATGAAACAAACAGGGTAATGCCCAATACTTACCTTTTGGATGGGTTAAAACCTGTATTGTCCACGAGAATTGTGTGCAATGCACAGCGCCATTGGTATGTCTGGGAGTGCTGAAGAAAGAATGAATAGCAGTTTCGGGTGCAATACGTAGCACTTGTATTTCGTCTTGGTAGATTGACGTACGTATGTGTAGATGGTTGTGAGCACTGCTATTTTGCTTTGATGGGTTGAAGTGTGCATGCAGTGTGTATGAGTAACAGCGATGTATGCAATACTTGGCACTGTTACTCTGCCTTCATGAGTGTGACACAGTCAAAAAGTCGTATGCAATACTGAGCAATATTATTCTGCTGTGAAGGGTTTAACAGTAATCTCTGTGAACAACCGGGTTGCATGCAATGCTTAGCACCAGCTATTCTGCGACGATGTGAAACATGAACAACGAACGGGTATCATGGTTGCTTGCAAGACTCAGAATGTGTACTTTGCCCTGGCAAGTTGAGTTATGTATTAGTAGAACGGCTGTATGCAATACTTAGCAGTACTATTCTGCCTTGATGGGTTGAAGTATGCGTGGACAGGAAAACTGTATGCAATACTTAGCATAGTTATTCTGCCTTGATGGGTGGAAATGTGTATGTGTCATACGGTTGCATGCAGTACCTAGCACTGTCATTCTGCCTTGATGGGTTGTAACAACGTTGCATGCAATACTTAGCACTGCTGCTTTTCCTTTGTGGGTGTGAAACACTGAAAAGGTCGTATGCATGCACTACCTAGCACGATCGTTCTGCCTTGATTGGTTTCAGTATGTATGCATCGGAGGGTTGTCTGCAATACTTAATTAGCATTAGCACTGTTAGTTTGCATGAGTGGGTTGAAGCATGTGTAAGGCGGACCGGTTGAAGCAATACTTAGCAGCATTATTTTAACTTGATTCTTGAATTGTGGCCTCCGTGACCTTCAGTCTAGTCATCTAGTAGAATCTAGCATCAAAGCATGTGGCTGTTTCGGGAAGGAAGGCATTGCAAACTTGTTGATGGTGACAATGCGGATGACAGCGGTGATAACGATCGCCTCAACTGCGGTGCGAAGCACTCCTTTTTGCACAGACGCTGGCAACTGGGCCAGCGGTATGTCCTCAACGATTCGTTTGCCGACTAAAAACTAAAAATCGTATCTGCGCTCCTCATGCGCTTCACTCCACCATCGCTGCCGCCTCGGGCCATCCTCTGTCGGCCTCGTCTGCACGTAAAGCTTGCCTTTCTGGTAGGCCTCGTCCACGGCATGGTAAGCTTTTCGGATAAGATCCTGGTCAGCGGTGTTTGTTGGGACCTTGTCGGGATGAAGCTTCAGCGCCAAGGTTCGCCTCTTCTTTTCCAGAACCTGCATAGAGACAGTGCTACGGCTCACATCCAAAACTCGGCACCACCACGGGTTTGCTGCATTCACATCATGCTTTGCTGCCTGCAGTATTTTCGCCACCAGCTCCTGCAGCTCGAGACCAGTGCGCTTGTCGTCCACTTCTGCTTGAAGTACTACCCGAGGTGGTACTTCCTGTGTTGCTGCAGCCTGCGGTGTCCGTGGTGGCGTTTGGGCCTCTTCACGCACAACGCGGGCGAAACGCAAACGAGGTGGTGTGCTCGGCCGTGGCCGCTGGGAAACCGATTCTGGTTCATGCCCCCCTTGTGGGATGGGGGTCCACTCCAGCTTGATGGGCTGCAAGTTGACGATCACCTGGCGAGATGGCATAGAATCAGAAACGGTACGTATCATGCCTTCTACACTCTGAAATAATCACACATGCAAAACCAGACTACAGATCAGTCTAATTTGTGTCCAGCCGCATCCGGAGCGCTTGAATTCCGCTTCTGTGCAGCCGCATCCGCAGCGCTTGAATTCCGCACCATTGGATGGTGAAAAGTGAAACCTTTCGGCTAGGAGTATGCCGCACACGGCTCTAAAGCCTTACATTCTATATAGTGAGGCTCTCCATCTCGAACCGAACCTTTAAAAACCTAGGCATTGAGAATGCGTTGAAAACCATAGCCCTGCGGCTTCAATGCCACAGCCCCCACCGAATGCACTTGGAGCCGAAAGTCTTGAAGAAATCAGGAGTGTGACATCGGCGCACTCACTCAGCGGGTTCAAGGTTGAGGGCTTCAGGCCTGAAATAAATAAGGGTTAAGGCAGAAGCCGCAAATGCCAGTAAGACATCTTTCCTCGTACCCTGCATGCTAGCCAGCCCCTGTAGAACTCTTCGGGTCAATATGTTGCGGATTGCAGGTCCGGCCTTTGACCTGTTGACAGATCAGCTGCTGGAATATCACGGCTAAAATGTCGCAGGGCAGCCTACACCGTGGATCCCACCCTAGGTCCCAAGGCTAGGCGTGTAGGGCTTCAAGGCACAGCATTTGGCAGACAATTGAGACCCAAAGTGCTCGTTACATCACGAACTCCTCATAAGCCCTGCAGCGATCTTCCCAAGCCCTACTAAACCCTCACCCCTAAATCTTCGAACCAACACCCTAAGCTCCTGAAGACTGAGGCTTACGACCTTAGAATACGACTATCATCAGTACTACTGCTGTTGTTATTATTACTACTACTAACACTAGTTGATATTATTCTTAGGCCTATTCTTGTTCTTATTCATAATCGTTCCTATTCCTATTCTTATCCTTATCCTTCTTCTTCACTGCTAGATCGTAATACTCTAACCCCTACACCCGCACCCTAAACCCTAACCCCTAAACCCTACACCCGAAACCCTAAACCCTACACCCTAAACCCTACACCCTAGCCCCTAAGCCGTTCGTATGGTTCTTGGTTGCAGCGTGCAAAGCAAGCAGAAGACCGGGCTCGGGGCTGCAAAGAGCCGCAGAGGAGATCATAGAGGCGTAAGTCAACCTGAGACAGGAGCTGCGGGTTTTAGGGGGTTTTCGGGTCTAGGGTTTAGGGTTCAGGGTTTAAGGCTTAGGGTTTAGGATCTGAGGGTTTTAGGGTTTAAGGTTTAGGGTTTAGGACAGGGCCTGGGGGTTTCGGAGGGTTTGGGGTTTAGACGGCCCGGCTGAATTCTCTACGCCACGAACTCAAGGTCTAGGATCGGGTCCAGAATTTGTTTCTCGTCTGTGTGGACGTTGAGAGTTGCAGCTGCTGAGCTATATCGGACTTGTCAAAGAGGCTTCCTCTTTTGATCCTTTGACATCGGTGTTTCTTTACCAGACAGAGGAGAACCGTAGGCCCCCAGGCCCTACATGCCAAGAAAGCCTCGACGAGCGCATGCTCTCAGCCAAGCAAGTTTTGACAAGGTTTCGGGTCTAGGGTTTAGGGTTGTGCTAACACTTTCAAGATAAAACGCTGCATGCCAAGAGACATAAGTTTTGGACGAAGGCCCCCCAAAACCCTACTGGCTACCCTGAGCCGTAGACGGCAACGACCGGCCCCCAATAGAAAGAACAAACAGAAACGATCTTCAACCCTATCCATAATCCATAAAAGCCTCACCCTGAAAAACCTGGAAGCCCCCAAAAAAGGTTGCAACGGAGCTCTTGGTCTTAGTCTGCTCTCCCCAAACCAGTGTCTCTTAGTGGCCGACACTGTAGGTAGCACCTCAAGCATCTGTCTCGTCGGATTTCGGGCTTTTGTCCGTCAGGGCTTTTTTTGTCTGTGGGCCGTTGGGGGCGGGGGCCTTAACCCGAAACCCGGTTTAGGGTTTAGGGCTTTTAGGGTTTAAGGGTGTGGGGTTTAGGGCCTTTTAGGGCTTTTTGGGTTTGGGGGTTGCAACGCTGCTGTGGGGTGCTCCGGGCCTCTTTGCGATGTTCCGAGGTTCCTTCTTGGGATTCGTCGGAGGGCTCGGAGTGTAGGGCACATCTCTAAACTCTAAACTGTCAGATCCTTCTGGCATATCTTGGATGGGCCAAAAGAGTCTCCCCCCCACAGCTGAAGCCATGAAAAAAACCTTAAGCCACAAACCGAAAACTCTCAAATTCTGAAGTTTACGGGCCCTGCACCCTAAACCTACATGTAGCCCACTAAGCTATTGATAGCGCGATTCTTGTTGGACTTCAGGCTTGCGGGCTTTAGCTGTAGGGTTTGATTCTCTGCCTTCTCAGACCTTACACGGTTCAGGGTGTAGGGTTTAGGATCGGTTTTTAGCACTGAGGGCCTGGGCTAACGTGTGGCGGCAGGCCTGGTCGCGATGCATTCGCCGTTTCCACTCTAGGACACCAGCCTGGTCAGGTTTAGGGTTGAGGGATCAGGGTTTAGGGTTTAGGGTTTAGGAGTTTAAGGGTTTAGGGTTTAGGATTTACCTGTATCCCCAAACCCTACAAAATAGTAGGTTCTGATCCCTTAAAGTATAGGGTATAACGGTATAACCCCTAAAAAAACAGTAGGTTTTGGATCCCCGGGTAGGAGTTAAGCTGCACCCTTTGCTCTCGGCAGCTATGCGCGAGGAACCCAGATGACTCTGTTACCTGCCATGCTGGAAAACTAGGTTGGGCATGCACGAGAGCGATAAAACAACGCTACATTAACTTCGCTACAGATACTAAAACTAGAATTATGCATTTGGTTGTACCAAGCTATACCGATAACAAGAATACTTAACATTACTCGGAAGAAATGATACGGGTCTGCAGAGCTCAAGCGAGGGGATGATGCAGGAAAGCCATGAGAACCATGCAACACTTCACACCTCAGCAGACCTGTGACTCAACTGTAGACGCTGCGTACATTCGTAGTCTGTACCTCAATCCCCAAAAGCCTACCTTCAACAGACGGGCAAGTCTCAACTGGAACGTAGCTGGGGACAGCTGGACTTCCGTCGGAACCCCCCTGAGGTTGTGACCGTCAAAACTGAACATCCCAGATGCCCCATCTACACTGAGCCCTAAACTGAACTCCTGAACTCTGAAAGCCGCAAACCTGGCATCTCCGAATGCCTAACTTTTAGGGTTTAGTGTTGATAGGGTTTAGGGGTAGTACCACCTGGTGCCTTGGGTCTCTCTGAGGACATCCGCAGCGACCCTGACTGAAATAGAGGTACCGGAACTAAGACAAATACAGGTGCCTCAACACTTCCTCAGGGATTTTGGGCATCTTGCGGTATAGTACGGTTAATACGGCAAAATCGGTATAATATAGTACGGTATAGTTGTGTATAGTTTTGTATAGTATATGGTATGGTAAGGTATCATTCGTAAGTATGGTATGGTATGGTACGATATGGTATAGTGGGGTGGTGTAGAGGTACGGCATAGTTTAGTTTAGTTTACCCAGACTAAGGAATGCTAGGGAATTAAGAATCACATTGGTAATGTAGGGGCCTTAATCATCAGAATGGGGTTTTGGCGCTTCCTTGTTATAATTATAGCATAATATACCCCAAACCCTTTCTAACTATTAAGGCCCCTATATTAGTTTCTTCAGGCTTCTGTGTTACAGCACCTCTCTGAAGGTCGCCGCCTCATCCCCGGATTTGGACAAGCCGTCCATGACAGCGTTGTAAGATATCCTTGCATGCATCAGGGCTTCTTGGGGCGGTTTAGGGATTGGGGTTTAGGATTTAGGATTAGGGTTCAAGGATGTTCAAGCTTTAGGGTTACCATTACTTTGTTTTAAAGTGTGGTGGGCCTTTCGCACTGCTTAGGGTTATCTGGGGTTTAGGGTGGGGGGATGTGGGGGGTTTCGAGCTGAAAGCGGCAAAGCTGCAGGGGTGTACGGCGTGGGCTTGCGGGCTTACTGCCAGCTTTGGAGAAGCTGGAGGACGGGGTAGCACTAAACCTATCGTAATTTCAAAGAGGCTTTCGCGCGCAAGATGGCACATGTCTACAAGGAGCCCGGAGGTTGGTTTATTCAGGCCTCTACATTACCCAAAGAAAGGGTTTAGGATTTTTGTTGTTTTAAAGGGCCCTTTTCGTAGGGTTTAGGGTTTAGGCTTTAGGGTTGAGGGATCCTCGCAGGACTTCTTCGGTGAAGCAAGGTCGAAGCCTTTGATAGGGGCAACCGCTACTTCTGGCACTTGTGAGGTCTCCGGTTTCCTGGATAGGGGGTAGTTCTCTAAATTAGGGTCCCTTTTTGAGTCCCCGATATAGTACGACACCCTTATATAAAAAAAAGGTACCCTAAAAGGTATCCTACTTTAGAGAACTACCCTTATGACTTAATTATTCAAATTAAGATTAGGGGGATCCTTCGGGGATATAGGACCCTCTCAATAAGGTCATTTTTGAGAGAGCCATAAGTAGGATTAAGAAGGGTCCCCTTTACGGGGTCTCCCTAATCCTACCTGGGATTTCACTGTTCGACGGCGGTGTAGCTCGGAAGTCGGATTGAGGCCTCACGCAACATGATTATTATAGGTTAGGGGGTCACACGTTGGTATTTGGCCGCGTGGCTTCGCGACATCTCTGTTTGGGCTTGTTGTCGAAAGTGCTGGTATTTGCAGGACTTTTGTGGCTTGGAGTCAAGATTGGGGTGTATGTCTGAAGGCTCCATTCAGGTACCTACAAGTTAGGGCGCGTTTTTCAGCACACTGGGCTCAAGTGTGTGGCGAAGTCGGC